AATCAAAGGTTCTCTTTGTCAGTGTATTGTAAATGTAGCAGCGTCATATTGCAACTTGGATAATGTTCTTGCTAAATAGATGTCAAGTCACTCCAAAGGAATATCTCTTACGGTAACCAGGAAGTTTCAATAGAAGCTGATGGAAATATCTTCATCTATTTTACTTGTTTTAAAGTCTGCAATATTGAAGGAAGTAAATATTTTTACATATATAGTTTTTTTTTTCTTAATCATAGAACTCAAAATTGTTCATGAAAAGGTACATTAATAACATGTATACCTTTCCTGGTGTATATTACCAAATCACAGGACTGAAATCCATATATACCTAATTGGCCTTGAATTTGATAATAATAATCACTATCATCTTTGGAATACCAATTACCATCTTTCAGGTAGCATCCTACATTGTGCAGCAGTTTTAGGATCACAGTCTCTCAAAGCCTCCATGGACATTTAATTTCTAATAATTTGTTTTGATGATTTTCTTTGCATTGACATTCAACTGTACCATCCACTGGGAAGTACCAAAGGAAAGGATTTTCTTTATCAATCAATAAACCTTTGATTTTTCACTAATAATTTTTATGTCTCCTTCTTTCCAATCTGTTTATACATTTCTTTGGCCTTGCCTTTCTTTCTTTCTACCCCACACAATAGAAGATGGTACGATTGCTATTGTCAATGCTAAGACTGTCATGGAGCAAACATTTCACTAAATTTGAACAATCAATGTTATTTGTTTTTTCAAAAGGAGTCTGCCCTGGTGCAAACACGTTTAAAATTGGAAGTGGTCACCATGCCAGCTCTCTCATAACTGACCATGCCAAGGATTCTCTCCCTGTCCTGTGGTTTCATGTTCAATGTAAAGTAATGTCATCAATTACAGTATCTGGAGTCTATTAATTGCATCCTGAGATATGTCAGTATCTTGGACGCTGGAATCAAAGGGCCTGTAGTTTGTTGACTATGGACATGGCAGCATTCCTCATTAATTTTGTTGCTTGAGTCTCTGTGTCAGTGGGGATCAAGTAGGCTCTCTCCAAGAGCACAAGCATTCGGATTTATCTGCAATTATGAAACATGTTCATAAGTTCTCTGCAAAATGATATCATTCATTTGGGTTACAACTAGCTCTGAGCATTGGAAGTTGTCCATTTCTGTCATGATACCAAGCTGAGAAAGTTGGAAGTGTCATCCATGAAGGTATGTATATATTGAGTGTATTGTTTTACAGATAGATATTCATTGCTTTTATGAATGTTTGAGAAAGTAAAACAATCTGCATTGAAAATACCTGTTCCAAAACGTTTATATGAATACTTAACATTTTCATGCTTTAGCAACTACCGGTACATAATGACTGTTGTATGTTGTGGACTGAAATGAGGGAATATTCAACTCAATTCAACCTGGTGGGGAGGCTGCAAAAATCGGCCAGCTGTTCAAGTGATGGATTTGCTCTCGAGTCACTTATATTGGTCGAGGGATCAAATTCTCCTGTCAAGGTCACTGTTCGTGTCTGCTAGTGTTTGTCCATAGCTGCAACACATTTTACATGGGTCATTTTGTGTACAGCAAAAATAAAAATATCTCCCATGTATTTCATGTTGGTTGTGATTTATTTAAGACCAGATTTTAATGTAGAATATTAACTACTTGCAGACTAGTGTTCTGAAATTTCACATGTCCTTGTTTTTCTTTTTTGTACCTGATTTTCTTGACTTTTTTAGGTGACCTTGGTGGCACAGGCTCATCATGACTTCTTGAGTGGCTTGGTCCATAGGGATGAAGCCATCAGTGGCCGCTCTTTTTCTCAAAAGCTTCAATGTCAAAAGAATGTTGCCTTATGCTATATGTCTGCAGGCTCCATCAGATCTTGAAATATGCTGAAAAATACATGCCACCACTATTTTGTTTCAAGACAAAGGGGTTATTATAACAAACATTGTACATGTAACATTATACATGAGCAACATCAATAACTGCTTTCACAGTATTATGAATAGGTCTACATGGATATTAGAAATGTATAAAAATTGGCTAAGATCCGCACCGAAACATTATGGAGTTGGAACTGGTTGTTTCTCTTTAATTCAAGCATCATTACGAGCTTTAGACCTTTTCAATGTATAATGCCAGCTAGCTCACTTACCCTCCTGGGCCCACTTGCACAGAACAACCTTAGTTACAATCAATCCTTAGGCCCCTACAATCAACTTTACAATCGCCATACAATTTGCCTAACCCACTTGCACAAAGAAGCCGATCTTAACGCGATTGTAAGGCCACTGCATGGATTTAAGATGCGATCTTAGCTAAGACTGAACTCTTCGAAGCGGTGGAGAGTAAAAGAAACACATGGAGTCATGCGTCATTGGCTACGATGTAGAATTACCTCCCTTGTCGTATCGGCAGACGACACATTGTTGCAACTTGTCGAAATGTCAACAGAGGAAAGAGGGTGCGCCGCAGTAATTTTACTGAACAAGAGCTATCCGTGTTGACGGATGAAGTTACACGCAGTAATGATGTTTTGTTCGCCCCATTCTCCCCAATAGTGACGAGTAAGTTGAAGGCGGACATGTGGGAAAACATAGCCGATAAGTAAGTCCAATAGTAAGAACAATCTACATTTGTAAATCAACTACTAAAATGTATCGAGTATATATACAAATAGGAACTAGAACATTTCTGTATACCATTTAGTAGATTGATCGTATTTCTTTAGTATAGTAGGATATGTTTTTCCTGAAAGCAGTGGCATTCATCTTTGAATTGAAGAGCCTAACACAGTATTCTGTTCTCACCACATTGCCGCGTCTCCACAGCTATGTTTACGTTTTAAAGGGTCACTGCTGTCAGCTCGACCAAGGCGGAGTGGCGCAGATATTAGGAAGAAGTGGAACGAACTGGAAGTAAGTTAGAATAAGATCTGTATAATGTAAGATTTATACAGGAGCGTACTTTTGTTGGTCCCTGCATGAGATAATACATGTATGTGGGATAAATAATAATAAAATTGACAATTTATGGAGCACTAAATCCAGCCACTAGAAATTAGGTGCTCCAAGATCGAGTCATTAATATTGTATTTTTTGTCTGAGAAACATGATGTCATAAAATGTTGTTTAATCCATGCTTCCTTCAAAATACATAGGTTTGAGTTTTATGTTGATATAAATACATGTGTATTTGTACTTTACATGATAGTGACAAGTTCATTTTTATATGCAGATGCCAAATAAGAAAAAAGGCACAAACAACAAAGAGGGACATGATGAAAACAGGGGAGGAGGCCCTGCTCCAACTCCTCTCTCAGATTTTGAGGTCTAAGGTAACATGCACACAACTGTGTATACATATGTATGATACAAGCAGAGTGTTTTTAGAATTGAAGCATTTTCCAGTATTAATATAATCACAACAGTGCAAATATTTCAAAGCAAAGAAAATTGCTGCTGGTGATAATAATATCATGTGTTTTAAGCTCATATCTCAATTACAAATTAAAAAAAAATAACCTTGGGTCATGAATCCTGATATATATTTTCAGATACATTTGTATGTGACATTACCTTTAAATCTTATTTTAGGTTATCTGCTTGATACCTGCCTGCCCAAATAGATGGCATTCCTGGTGGAGTTAGAAAGTGGTTTGTGTGCCAGTAAGTGCAAAGCCATGTTATTCTCATTGGAAAGTACAAATTGATCTTTACATAAAATGGGTGCCTGGCAATATCAGAAGAATCAAATAAGATACATATAATGAAAGTTGTGAAGTTTTACCATGTACTCTTTGTGAAGAACATGTTCAACTTTTATTCAGATGAGATGTAGCCGACACACAAGATCTTGATGTAAGCATGGCAAGCGAGCTTGAAAGTTCAAGAGATCAATTACAGCTTTGCCCACAGGTGAATATGTTCAGTGGTATACATTGACATTGTTCAATAATAACATGTAAGTGATAGTTAAATTAATCAAATATCTGAGTCATTCATATTAATGTACTGCAAAAGTAGTCAATTACTGCTGATCAAAGTTACGTCTGTCTAAACAAACTTGCAAAGTTTCAAAGAAAAGAAATTCAGTTCATACACATTTCAAAACAATTTGTATATAAAGTCTACCTTACAGAATGCTTAATGATATAATGATTGTCTCTTCATTTTTTCTAGAAGTAGAAGACACGCAGAAGTCTGCTATAAAAACCTACCAGTACTACACGTAAGCATATGTCAAATATGTTAATGGTACATTTCTCATAATATTGTATTAATTATTTTATGAATGATTTAATTGTAGTATTCATTGTAAAACAATATTAAAAGGATAATGTGCTGCATTGGATGTATTATGCTTACATGTAATTAACTGGACTGTTACTTTCCTGTACTTAATAGTGACCAAGTCCAAATCTCCAAAGCTACAAACAGTGAGTCGATCTGGAGAGGGAGAAGCTGGAGGTGCTGCATCAAATCCAACGTGATGGAAGTCATAGGCTAGACATTGAGAGGAAAAGATTGGCCATTGAGGAGAGAAGACAGGCTGTCGAAGAAAAGAGACTGGCTCTCGATGAGGAAATACAGAGTTTGCTAAGAAATAAATCTATCAGTTCCCCTTTCAGCCTGTCCCCATGATAAAATTAGCATAGATTGCACTTGTATTAAATATAATTTATGACATTTTCATTCATAGGAATTGTTAACTGTATCTTTTAAGAAATAACATGATAATCAAGTGGTTTTAGATGATTTGGACACAGTCACATTCACTGTCATGTATACAATGAAAATTTAGAAACATGAATTATTAAATGTAGGATTTAGGAAAATTTATTCTGAATTAATTCCTTCCCTCATCCTGTGGCCATCATTCAGAGGTCCCTGATAAACATAGTCAATTTCTGGGGCACTTTCCTCTTCAAGAGCAGGGGATTGTCCAGCCTTGAATCTATGCAGAAATTATGCAGCTTAAATGCTAACATAATAATCTAGGCACATTTTGTGGGGGTAAATTGAAGGCACCCTGATGACTTGTGTAAGCATCTGAAAATAATTCATGTATGGTAATTAATGCATTATTTTCTAACTATTGAATTCAGATATTAAAGACATTACAAAGAAGGGATTTTTAGTATTTATATTAACCATACATTAATTTTTATGTTGTCTTAGTAATAACATATAATTTTAATTGTCTCTTCATGTATCATATGAGTTAGCTTAATGAGTCTCAAAGTCTCATTGTTTGAAAGACATCGAAACATCTAGATTTACTAGATCTTTTCAGACAAGCTTAGGAATTTTTTATATTTGTTTCCAAAATTCCTCACCTGAACCTTGATTTCAGAACACCAAATGCCCTTTCAATGGTGTTTCTAGTCTTCATGTGGGCTCCATTATATCTTTCTTCTGGCCTTGTCTGAGGATTACCTATTGGTGTTAGGAGCCAGGGCCTGCATGCATATCTACATAAAGATAAGATACAGTCAATAATTTTTTTCATTTATGTATTAATGTCTGTTTGAAATCTGTTTCATATGTGCAGTTACTTAGTGAAATAAGTAACCTTCTTGTGACTTATAGGCTTGACACTGATGTGACATGTGTATTTGGTGTTTGTGGCATTCGTACATATTTATAATTTTAAATAATACAAATTAAACAAACCCTGAATCTCCCAAAAGCCATCCATCTGGAGGAGAGGACTCGAACGACTGTCCCAACAGGCTGTTGCTAAGGATCATTGAGTCATGACTCGCCCCAGGCCACCTTGCAACAACATTGCTGAACCTGAAGGAAATAATCGAGGATGTACTTAGTTTTATGAACATCACTAATAACATTACTATAAGTATACACTGCTTAACATAATTATATCTCTCTAAATCCTAAGATTTTACAGCAACAAATTCTTAATGAAGAATATCCTCCTGTTGTACTCTATTTTCCATTGATGTGGATGTGTGTGTGTGTGTGTGTGTGTGTACTAGTATTTTACAATTGATTGCAAATATGTTTACCTATTCATCTTGTTATATTCAATTCAAATATATTGTAATGAGATTACTGTATCTCAAAATAAACAAAAAGAAATTCATTACAGGCTCCTGGTGTGATGTTTTAATTACCAAAATGCAGCATAAAAATTATACTGTTCATTTTACAGGCTTCAAAAATATTTCGGTCTCCCATAATATATAGTGAAATAGAGTCATAAACTGAGAAATACATGAGCTAATCGAAGGTTGTGACGTTTTGTTATTTTCCAGAGAAATCATTATGGTCATGTCATAGACATAAGCAATGACTTTAGTAACTTTATTCATCAAAAATCTTAGTGCGCTTTGAAACCTTATTCATCCCTGTAATCGCCTCTTGTTGTAACTCCATTGAAGGCCCCTGACCTGTGATTGGTCAATCCCAAGGTAAACACTGATCAGCTGTGCAATTCACCGTAATAAAGTAAGCATGACGGCCCATTTTCATGCACATATACGCTTTAGTGGTATCATTTGATAACAAGTGCAAGCAAAAGACGATTTTGTCATCATTTTGTTTCAATAATAATGTGTTCTTACCTAAGGTTTGAATCACAAACGGCTTGTACATTGATGGCGTGGAACCCTTCCTGCACACGATGCAGATTCATCGTCACCGCTTTGGTCTTTGATGGGTATAAGTGTGCCATCAATGGCACCAATCACTCGCATCTCAGCGATGTTGTGGAAATCGGACATAATGTGCGAAAAGGACGCTGGATCAGGAAAGTTTATGTTGTCGAGCATACTGCTCATTGCAGACACTGTTCTATGCAAACACCTCGATACACTGGACTGGTGTACTCCGTGGAGATCGCCCATTTCGAAAGCAAAAGCCACCCTTACTTAAAAAGCGCATTGTTAAAAGAAACTGTGTCTCTGGGGTGAGGGGCATGTGATCTTTTGTGGGGTGCTTTCGATTAATGGACGTACTTTGTGTAACTGGAACAGCGACAAACGAGGCATTCTGTATCGAAAGCATACAGTTCCTCGTCCTCAGAATGTCGAGCTGCTTAGTTCTGTCTCTGAAAACCCGTTCTCTCCTTAAAAATCTGTCGTATTCTTTACAAAATAGAACTGTACTCGCCATCTTGGTCGATTGTAAGACCTCTACAATTGGTCCGGGGCAATTGTAGGTGGTTCGATTGTAACTTACAATGATCTTAGCCTACAATTGCTTTGTGCAAGTGGATGGCGATTGTAGCCGAAGCCTAAGATCGCGATCTTAAGGATTTACAATAATTGTAGCGCTTAAGATCGCTCTGTGCAAGCGGGCCCTGGACACTGACAGTAAGCGCATCTTAATGTCAACATTATTTTTTCCACAGCAATCCATAGGTTGTAGAACTCGGACTTTAGGTAGGTCTTGTCCCGTTGTGTTGGCTTCACAGACGCTTTAAAAATTCCAATTTGTGTCAGTAGCATCAGCATACTCCACACTGTTGACATGCCCATCAGCAAACAAGCCGATAGTCTTGAAAAGACTTGTAAGGCCAAGCTTCCTTCTGTCATAATCGGGCCTGAACGACACCTCAAGTAATTAAATACGTCATATATTCCAATTTCCGGACATTGTGACAAATTGTTTGAGTAGCCTTGTAACAGGAATGGGTCACAGTTAATGTTCAGGTGTGAGAGTGTTTGGGGTGTGTAGCTTACATCGGAAACATCCTGGAAGACGGGCAAATCCAAGCTGGCAACACACTCGCACAAAGTGATCAATTCGCGACGAATGTAGCCTGTAAATGTCACACCACGGTCTTTCAAATACATCTTCAACTGTGGAACAGTCTTGGATAGGAACATACTTGATATTTTCTTCAAATAGTGATCGTAGACCAAAAGTAAACAATATCGTCTGTAGACAGAAACGGCACGTCAACCTTGTTTACGTGTTGTCATGCCCGCGGTCACGTGTCACAGTGGGCAGATAACTCTAAACGGCAAAACTGGAAAATGGCTTATTGCGTAGAACTATGATCATGATATTATCATTAAATTATCTGGTTCAGATTATTTACAGACCGCCGCCATATAGCTGGGATATTGCTGACTAAACTCACACTACACTACACTACACCACACCACACTACACCCACCCATTCATTACTTCCACCGTGATTTGGGTATTGCAGGTTATATGGCCGGACACCTGACACATGTGACATGTGACTATGAAAACGGACACAACCAATGACCACGCTCCTTACATCCCAGCAGCTAACATAGCAGCAGCCTACCGAGCATGCAAGAAGCGTGACATACTCACGTCTTTCCAACCACTACGCCCGAGAAGGCATAGGCTACAATAAACGGCTGCAAAGGTAGGTGCTGGATCAGCCGCCCACCCAAATATCCTAAAATTAACCCACCCGTTACGATTTAATTATGTAAAATTACCCGTAAATCCTGAGTCGATGCCATCTACTTCTTTACATTGTCAGCAATACGCCTTTATCACGCAACCCGCTAAAAACTTCACAACGAGGCTCGGTATTCAAACAGAAATGGCGCAACACTGCTGTGTGCCGACCTGCAGTAACGACTCCCGCTATCCGTCTGGAAGGAACCTGTCATTCCATAATATCCCAAAAGGATCAAGACCTACGCAAACGCTGGATAATAAGTATCAGACGCGACGAAGGGCCATTATTCAAGGTAGGTTAGACATGAAATGATATGACAGTCGCCTTGAGTAGCGATATCCAGCCAGGGGAGATAACCGAAACAGCTCCTCTCGTAAGCACAAAAACATGGTCAGAAAAAATGTGTCAAAACAGGGGTTGCTTTTACGCGCATTTGTAACGTTGCCTCTAATTGCACAAAGAATACAAATACACCAATGAAAGACGGATAACAAAACTAGAGACACTTTTTGATAGTTTGACAAATGTGACGACAAATGTTGACTTTGTGAAGGTGAAAACTTCCGAAGTGTAAAACATATTTATGCAAAGCGCACATGTCTATAAAAATCTCATAGGTAGACGAATTATCAAGCTTCAATCTGCACTATGAATTGTATTTTTTTTTTAACAACGTGTTCATGTCGAAATAAAATGAAAAGGACCCCACCGTCTATACCGGAAGTACTTTTCCCTAGCGATCAAGTGACAGACACAGCCTGCCAGCTGAGATCGTGTTTGTCAGCAAGCGTGGAAATACCGCCTTTCTACGAAATAGGTGAGTGACAACATTTTTCATGTTTGCAATATGATGTATCCTGAACTAATGAACAAATATACACCATTTATTATCGCCAATCAATCCAATTATGATATATACTTGGCCTAAGTAATGTGCACACCGGGTTGACCTATTTTTTCGTGAAATTGACATGGTTATCAAAATGAATTACTACTGACAGTGAATGACAGTAAATGTGATTGTGTGTGACTGTTAGTATATACAAGTTAGCAACATTTGGCAGTTGACCATTTTTGTATTATCTCTGTTTTCAGTTGCATTCCATTTACGAAATCCTTTAACATTTTTTAAAATTATATAAACATTGCCATTGTTGATGAAATAACAATAATGTATAATCAATTATTTACTGTTTAAGCCTTGGGCCATTAAATTGTCACGATCTAATTAGTGCCATACTGTTAAGAAAATATCTTAATTTTTATTTTCCTTAATTTTTTCAGGACCAGGGCTGACCAGCTGAAGAAAAGATGTTTTGCAAAGTGACAGAGATTGGTTGCTATTGTTTCTTCAGATTTTATTATCATCATGCAACTTGACCTGTATGCTGTTTTTGTGATATATCTTAAACAGTTATACCTGCCATATAATTGACAGTTTGTGATAGAGTTGAAGCGCAGGACTGGATAGCACTCTTTCAAAGAAAATGTTTCTTCATCATATGTTGTGCATTGATCTGCATTGATCTTTGCCCAAATGGATTCATATGACCCAGGATCATGAAATAACTTGCAACTGAAACTGTATTTGTTGGAAACTATTTGCTTAAGTATTTATGATCATATTCAAAAGACACCTAGACCACGGCCTCTAATATAAATATCAGATATGTTATATAATGTTATCAATCCATCATGTATGAGATATTGGCTATGATATAAAAGGCTTAGCTAAGATTCTACATGCTCCTGGGCCAGGTTTAGTTTTCAACCCTGTGATATATATTTTATGTATTATGTAGGAGTTTCTAGAACCTTATTTATTCATTTTCGTTGTGGTACATAAGCTGTCTGTAGAAAGGAGCAAAGAGGTCCCTGTTTTACTTGATTTTACTTATTTTGACTCCAGAGACTTTAGTTAACATGAAACTTGCCTTGTATGCATGTATTGTCATTTTCTAGTCATTAATGCATGTCATACATGGCAAAATTGTAATAGTAATTAAACAGCAGAAATGGGTACCACTGTCAGCGACAGATTTTGCTGTTGAATGTGTTAGATACATCACTTTCATTGCAAAATAGATAGACATGATGCCAATAAACAACTACAATGCATACAAGTATTATTCAGAAGTGTAGAATTATTTTTTGAAAATACCCTAGCCAATATACAGCTGCAGTATTTTTTAGGGAGCAGGTGTGTTTGAATGCTAATAACTTTTTATTGTTTTTTTTTCTGTGTTAAAAACAAAGTATTTTGATAGCTTATCCTTTGCTCTAGCCCCACACAACTTTCATGTTAATTGTACAGGTAGAACTCTAGATATTCTTCAAAATACATTTACATACATTTGTATATCATAACCTTCAAATTTCAAGGTCGAGCATATTTTTATAAACATTGTAACATATGCTTTTTAACTTTATTGTCACTTTTGGAGATAAAAGACGTG